GAATTCCCTTTAGTGGGGTTCTGTTCCCTGCCCCATCTGCCCTTTGGGCATGTTGTTTGTGGAAGTGGTTAGGTGATGCTATAGTGTGGTCTGAAGCTGGCCACCAGATGTATTTGTTTGGGGGCCTCTTGGGAGGGGTTCTCTTGCAAGCCAAGGTCAACCACTGCCTGTACCCTACCCAGGGTCACTTGGTATGAGCTACAAAGTGATCTGCAGATGGTTGCCCCTTGTGCTGGGCTTGCAGGTGCCTGGGAGAGGCCAAGCTGTAAACTAAGGCTGGCTGTGGCTAGTGCCGGGCTTTAGGTTGTTTAGCAAGAGGTATGTGGCATGCTGAGGCCAGATGCTGGTTGTTTGGGGTTTGCGAACCTTTAAGAGATTTTAGGAAAGTCCCTAACATGAGTCAAGACAGACATGTATATGGAAAAGCCACTGGAAGTGGTTTGGGTGGGCCAGAAAGTTGGATGAGGCAGAGTGTCAGGGAATCACCAGGGTTGGGCAAAACGTGTTCACCAGGTTGATGGAGATTGAAATATAGTGTTTGCCTGTGTCTGCACGCTGGCTGAGGGACAGGCTCAAAAAAGGAACAAAGCTTCTGCTAGCGCTTCTGTTTGGGAGAAAGCTGCTCCTCTAGCCCTTGCCCTCAAGCCAGACAATTCAGTCCCTCCTCTAATGTCCCTGGCACCTTTCAAGCTGCTGCCCCAACAATGGAGCTCAGAGTAAGTGAATCTGTCAGTGAGTAAGTCCATGTGCGGGCCCTTTAAGAGGAGAGCCTGGGACTCCAGCAGCCCTCTGTCTCACTCAGCCACAATCTCGGCTGGGTTTTACAGCCATAAATTGTGGGTATTTCTCTGCCTGGCACTGGAACTCTGGACTGGGGAGGCTACTCTGGGGCTGGAAGCCCTCACTCAGGTTGACCTCTACTGTTGAGATCTCCCTCCCAATTTTTAACTGCCACACGTGGGTGTGGGACCAGCCTGTGCTGCATCTCTGCTCCTACCAGTGTCCACATGACTTCTTCTGTATGTCCTTAGTTATAGGATTTATGTGCATCTAGACTTCAGGCAGTTCTCAATGATGGTTGTTCTGTAGTTTAGTTATCATTTTGAAGTGGTTGTGAAAGTAGGCATGCATAGTGTTTTTACCTACTCCACCATCTCCCGCGTGATTGTTTTTATAACTGGCAGTTTATACTTCTTACTCCCTTCACCTTTTTCACCCATCCGCCCGACCCTCTCCCATCTGTCAACCATCAATTTGTTCTCTGTATCTTTGAGTTTATTTCTGTTTTGCTTGCTCATTTATTTTGTTTTTTTTTAGATTCCACAAACAAGTGAAATCATATGGTATTTGTCTTCTCTAGTGAGTCTATTCTTAATAGTAATTCTTACTGATCTCGCGAGTCTGTCCTATCATTACCCCATTGTACACATTAAGAAACTAATGAAATAAAATGATTAAGAGGCTTGCAGAAAGTCATCTAGCTAGTCAGTGGCAGAACTGGGATTTGAACCCAGGAGGTCTGGCTCTAGAGGTCCCAGTTTTAACAATTTTGTTATGAGTATTTAGACAAACATGAATTTCAAAGGCAGTATATCTTTTTTGATGACTCTAGGGCTATGATTATTCTGTTGTCTACCACTGCGGGCATGGGTGGAGAGAAGACTAAGGACAACCTCAGACGCCTATGCTGCACAGGCGGCATGCAGAAGGGATTTTTAAGGATCGTGTGTGTGTGTGTGTGTGTGTGTGTGTGTGTGTGTGTGTGTGTGTGCATGCGCGTGTGCGCGCGCACGCACGCACACAGAGAGCAAGCATTTGCACAGTGTAATTTTCACTTAATTAGAATAGGAAGACTACTAAGCTATTTTTAAATGCACCAAAGATCAGGAGGTGTATTAGAATTAAATTACACTGTGTGAGGCTGATTGGCAGGCCATGTAATGTGGGAAAGTTCATAATCTTGTCTCTATCAGCACAGTTTGCAAAGTAGGCCTGAAAGCATGTCCCCACGCCCATAGTTTGGAGCTATAATTATTCAAGTAAAAAAAAATAATAAAACTAATTGGAAATGTGATAAGGAACGATTAGGCAGCCTATTTCAGGAAGAGAATGAACAAAATGAGCAGATGCCAACTGCTGTGACTTTTGCAAAAGAGGATGGACACACTCGTTTAAATGAAAGGTCTCCTGTCTGTCGTCTAGGGAAGGGATTTCCCTCAGGATTGCACCATTAGCATGTCATTTGCATGGAGAGTTTAAAACAAAACCACCACCACCACAAAATAGAAACTCCTGGGTACAAAGCGCCTGCATTCCAAAGCTGCTGACTGGTGCAAGGGACTGCATGCCTCTAGAGGGCACTTGGGGACTTGTTGCCAAGTGGGAATGCTTCTGACCTTGCAGTAGCAAGAACTGAAATAACCCGGGCAAAATGGCGCCGGCAGGGGGTCAGAAGACCTTGGCTCCTGTTTTGGCTGAAGCTCCTGGGCTGGAGCCCAGAGTCCATGCGCCTTTGAGGAATGACTTTCTCCCCTGGGCTCTGACGTGATGGTTAACCCCTCCCCTCCAGTGCAAACTGCATCTGCCCCCTCTGTATTTTAGGCTACGGGGTCAGACCCATGAGCAATCCAGAGGCTCCAACTTGCCCTCAAACCTTAGCTTCATCTCATGTTCAAGTGGGAGTGCAGGCTCTGGTGTCTGACTGCTTCAGTTCAAATCCTGGCCTAAAGATTGTGGACTGTGGGACTGTTTGCAAGACCTCACTCTCTGCCTCAGTTTCTTCATCTCTAATATGGAGGTGTCTCATAGGTGTGTGGTGAAGATTAAAGCAGATAAGTAAAACAGAGAATAGTGTTTGGCACTTACTGAGTGCTCAATATATGTTAGCAATTAATATGGATTTGTGGAGCTAAGTTGGATCATTCATATGCACATCTCCTGTAGTTGCCTCAAATAAGCACCATTATGTACTTAATGAATTTAAAAAATCAATTCGAGTTTTTAGACTTAGCTATATTTCAGGCAATGATATTTGTGAAGGCCCAGGATTAATGTGTTTATTTTTTCTAATACACATTAAAATAAAAACAGACCTACTAAAACAATGTTTTTAAAGGTTGGCCCCGTCTGAAGTCATCTGAAGTACCAATGCACAATTCGCACACTACGCAATGCTGTCCATGCATATTCATTCATCTTTCAGCGATTCTCTTAGAAAGAATTTAAACAACGCTTATCATGTGCGTGGAGAGCAAGTTAGGCAATAGAAATGAAAAACCATCTTCCCTGCCATCATTGAGCAAACAGATGCACAGGGAAGTGATGAGAATGATGCTAGAGCCCTGTAGATGAGTAGCAGGGCACGTCATCATGGGAGCATCTCATCCCACTGAGCTGGCCAGTTCTCGCAGGGGACAGCATGACATAGGGAGAAGAACCGAGCGTTATTCTAAAGGATTATTTCCGGGACAACTTGGCTTTGCTCCCAGATTCTACCTCTGTGAGACCATAGGCTTCTTACCTGCATTCTCTGAGCATGATTTCTCATCTGTGAAACGGGCATGCTATCTAACTCACAGAACTAGTGGAGGATTACATTTGCTACCCCAGCAGGTACTTAGTGAGTGAGGGTTCACCTCAGATTATCAATGCTTGCTGAGGACAGGAACTTTCCTGTTCTACAGGCCTCTAATATGTGCCCAGTTCTTTTCTGGGCTCTTAATGCTCTCTAGCCCCCAAATTACCCCCAAATCTGCCTCATTGGGAAAGCGGCCCTTGGCATACTAAACCACCTTAATATTGGCCAGTATGTACGGAAGGCTTTCCAAGTGCAAGACACAACTCCAAGAGCCTTGCATGTATTTCTTTTCACAGTGTTATCTTAATTAGGAGGAGGTCTATAAAACCCCATTTTATACGTAAGTAAACTGAGGCGTGGAGAGGTTCAGTGACTTGCCCAGGTCACTTAACTGGTAAATGGAGGTGCAGGTAACTACTAAGATTAGTAACCGCTAAAATTGTCAAGCTACCAGTTAAGATAGGAATGCAACTAATGCCCACAGTAGTACAGGACCACCTCATCTATTATAGCTCCGTGATTCTCAACTGAGAGCCATTTTTGTCCCCCCAGAAGACATTTCATGATGTTTGGTGATGGGCCATTTTTGGTTGTCACAGCTGGTGGGGTGGGTGTCACTGGTATCTAGTGGGCAGAGGTCAGAGATGCTGCTACAGAGCCTGCAATGCAGGGGACAGGTCCCTCCCCAAAGAATTATTTACCGCAAAACATCAGTAGTGCTGAGGTTTAGAAGCCCTGATGTAGACACTACCCTGTGACTATTTAGAACCCAGCTGATAACGCAGAAGAAACCACAGAATTTCTCAGATTCCTAAACAGGTAGCTCCACGTTGGGGCCGAAAATGCATATGCTTTGTCACAAGAAAGCCTGGAAACAGTGACCTGGAGCTAACCGCTCCAGGCACGTTTGTCTGGTGATACAGATAAGCTGAATAAAAGCCCCAAGTGGGATGCTGTGGCAAAGTAGATAGAAAGAGGGAGGAAGCGTGACACCTGGCAGGAATAAAAAAGATAGCAGCCAGCTGCTAGTATAAGGAAAGGAGAAAACCTAAGAAGCAGACATGTGCTCTTAGCAGCAGCCTCAGCTGTGCCAAGCCCTGGGAGAAGCAGCCAAGTGGATGGAGGCAGCTCCTTGGGTGTTGGGGTGAAGGGAATGGGCAGTGGGAGATGTACAGGGACCTGCCAGGGCCCTGGGATAAGGGGCAGGCTACCAGTAGCCTCTGCTGCATCATATATTATTGAACTACTGTGAATACTTTTGTTCAAAAAGGGACCTGAGACGGTCACTTGAAGAACATGATGAATATGGAAAAGTTAAGAGAGGATTCGTTTTGTGACATTTTTCTGCATAAACGGTAAAATACCCAGGTGAGGCTCACAGGCTTAGCGATTGTGAAGAGGAACAAGAAGCAAGAGGCTGACCTGAGTAGTTTTGCTTTATTCAATCTCATAAACATTTTATTTATATAAAAGGCGAATGATGCACAGTATGAAAATAAGTGCTTAAGACATTTGATATAAAAGAGTATATCGACTTCACATTCCTATTTTAATACATGAGTATGGCTGAAGTGTTCCATAAAAGAATAAAACTTTCCTTTTATGTATAGAAGTAAAAAGAAAAAGTCAGTATTTTTAGGAACTACAGAATGCTATTCCTTGGTCTTTTTCTTGAATAAGAAAAAAAAACAAAACATAAACAAAACAGGCCACAGTATCATCTGATACTACATTCCAGTTTATGCTGCTGATGACCCAGAAGTGACAAAACTCTTTCGAATCTTGGAAGGTCCCAGTAATGGACCAGTATTCTAGAAATTCACCACTAGAGGTCAATGGGCAACAGCTCTTGCGACGGCATCAAGTGCACGGAATTTCTGGGCACATCCATGGTTTTGCAGCCAAACCGTCCTTAGCTCTCTCAGCCCACCCCCACTGAGTAGGACGCCTACAAGTTCCACCTAATCCCAAACTTCAGCACATCTGCTAAAACTCCGAGGAACTGAGGCCTTCCAAAATCCAAACAGAGCTGATCTGCTCACTGCTATTCCCTCTCTCATCTGCTATTTGGTTGAAATTAAGTAGCTTCAAAAACATTTTGTACAAAGACATTATTTGCAGCATTAACACTTGTCTGTGAATTAACAAGTTTCCTATGGAGTATTAAAGCTCAGTCTCTCTTCTTGTCCATGGGGACACAGAGTTCCTAACTGCGAATGGGATCCCTATGTCTCACATTCAAATCCTCACTAGCAAATTCTGCGAGGGTTGGGAAGGCTGGTATGGTGGAGAAACTGGTAGCCACGACGAAAGCTTCTTGGAGGAAAGGGCTCCCCTCCCTAATACAGAGGGGGAAAGCTCTTACTATACAGACCAAAGAGAACTGGGTTAACTGGGACCTCTTAGAGGAGGCCCCCTTTAGTAAAAAAAAAAAAAAAAAAAAAAGGCCAACCTTAAATCTTAACACCAGGACCTGTAGAGGGAGTGAATCAAAATATTATACAGCCTGGGGATGACTGCTTGAGTGCACATTTCTTACCAAGGACTTTGATTACAGTGGGTTTAATTCCCAGACTGGGCTGGGGACGGGCAGAAAATATAAATGTTCATATCAAGAAGTGAAGCAGTTTGATAAGTGTGCCCACACTTTCATCTTGTGAACGACGTGGACGGGAGAGTGGAAACCATCTGCTATCTATTCTCACTTGAGGGTCCAGATTTTTTTTTTGGTAAAGTCTCCAAATATTTAAAAAGTGGCTCAATTTTATCAAGCGTTGCACTAGCTAAGCAAAACACATGTTTAGAGTGCCTGAGAAACTCCTAATTGGCCGTATAGTGCAGCTCAAATTCTTTCCACTAGGTCCAAAATATAAGTCCACATCCAGAAGATGGAACCCACTGGTGCTGCCTAGAAAGCTAGAGACTCAAACCAAGCGTGGTGAAAAATTAAACACGATGAACTCCAGAGGAGAGATTTGTTCCCTTTCCAGAAAGGGAGAAGGGCTGGGAGTGGACAATAGTAACACAGGTATGGGGAGGAATTAATATATATGAGTATCTTATTAGTAGAAGGTGTGGCAATTTCATGGATGAGGACATTTGTCCTTCTGATTTTTCTGCAGCCTGTAAAGGTAAAAATGGGGCTCAAGACATTTAAACTATGAGAGATGGGGCAACGTTTCTGAGCTAGTTGAGAAGCTGGTTCACAAACCAGATGTGGGTTTGAAGCTCAAATGAACAGTCCAGGAGAAACAACGGCCCACAGGCACCCCAGGATCTGGTCCCTAAACAGTGTGACTATACGTAGCTCCAAGGCTAGACGAAGACCCACACACAGGGAATTATCTTCCAAAAGCGAGTGGAACGTGGCCGTGGTAGGCTCTGAGACACGGAGCCTCTCCTAAGGCAAAGCCCCACCTTGTGCAGTCAGAGAACCATCCCATGTGTGATTGTCAAGTGCTAATGTTGTCATGGACCCCTTCTTCTGCGCTTGGCCCTGAAGCTCTCCAATCAAAGCTCTTTCCTGGGAGTATTGGATCTTTTTCCTTGTCTCTTTCCAGAGTATGGCTGTATATATATATATATATATATATATATATATATATATATATATAGATATAGACATATATAGATATATATAAAACATAGCTATTCCATATTTATATACAAGCATTAATAAAGTGCAAATGTTATTGGCTATTGTAAAAAATCAATCTCATTTCCTGAGGAACTGCTAACACAGCTTATCCTATGACAACGTCAAAGGCATAGAATGCTTCATGTCACCCACTCCCTGCCACTGTTGTCTCTGCTGAAATCCCACAGTTTACAGGGAGGGGCGTGACCCCTGTTTTTCCAGGAAGCATCAGTTTAGGGGCAGCTTCCTGCTGCCTCTGTTCTTTGGCAACAGGGGCGGCCTCTTTGGACTGGGCCCAGCCTACCCCGGAAGAGCTATTTGGTAGTGCTTAGCGAGCCGTCTTCGGGAATCTTCTCCTCCGAGCAGCTCCTCCCCGAGAGTCTATCCAGGTGCTCCAGCTCACTGAAGCGCTCTGCCACACACTGGGCCGTGAGCCGGGCTTCAGGGTCATGGTCCCAGCATTCGGTCAGAGTCTCACACACCATCTGGATGCCCTGCAGAGGAAGAAAGGTGCACAGGCCCCGTGAGTGAGTGGGTGGGCAGGCACCAAGGTGGCGGCTGGCCTTGTTCCCGCAGTGCAGGCCAGGTGAGGAGCCCGTGCATTGCACATATTCTGACTGAGCGCTCACTGTAGGAGGCCAGCCAGTTGCATGTGGATGGAAGGGGCGATGCTAGTGGCTGTGGACCACCCTGGGAACCTGCCGGACCTACTCATTCTGGTGCCATTTGATCCCCACAGGTTGTTGAAATGGAGAGATGGTGCAAGGGCCCTCCAGTAGGCATCTGGGGTACGGTAGCATCCCCAATACCTGAAAATTCCCACAAAGTGCACCCTTAGTGCTATTTCATAGCTTTCTACTTTTTTAGAGCAGTTTTAGCCTTTATTGTGTAGGACAGTTTTAGGCTCACAGCAAAACCGAGTGGAAAGCACAGAGCGTTTCCATGTACCCCCTCCCACCTTCCCTCACATCAACATCTGGCATCTGTGCAGCATATTTGTTAAAATCAACGAACCGACACTGACACAGCAGTATCCTCCAAAACTTAATTTAGGGTACATACTATGGATGGGTTTTGACCAATGTATCCTGACATGTAGCCGCCATTATAGAGTCCCACAGAATAAGTTTGCTGCTCTAAAAAATCTTCTGTGCTCCCCCTGGTCCCCAGTCCTTCCTTGTCCCTGAGCCCCTGGCAACCACTGATCTTTTTACGGCCTCTGTGGTTTTGCCTTTTCCAGAGCGTCTTAGAGTTGGAATCATCTACACGTTTCTATTTGAACAGGGCTAAACACCCCCGTCAGAGCGAAGTGCAGGCATCAGTCTGCTTTTACTTGGTAAAATCCACAGGTTTTGTGGAGGGATGCAGTAGCAGCTGCCAAGGGTGCCCTCCATTGTCCCTCCCTCTTCCCCAACATGAGGCTGGACCCTAGGAAAGAGTTGTCTGTAGGTCAGACCGTTTCAGAGGGTTCAACCGAACCCCATAAGGACCTCATTCAAAAGGCCTGACCAGGAAATGCTGCCAGGCCAGTGCTAAGAGTGTTCTCTCACAGCCTTCATTTTTACTTTGCATTGCAAATATTTTTGTTATCATTGCAAATCCTTTTGGGAAATAAAGCAGGCAGGAGTTACACAGATAGCCTTAGAAACAGAGTGCACTCCTGCCAGTAATAGGCTCAATCAACACTGTCACTGGTGACCCCTCACACAGGTGGCCCTGATGGAACGGCTAGATCCCAACACTGCCCTGAGCACTGGCACTCTCCCCATACTAGTAACTTTCCTCTCACACCTAGGAGCCTGTCCTGCCCTTCCCCCGACTGCCAGTGAGTTCATGACGTTGAATTAATTGTAGAAATCACCTAATTGACGGTATTGACTGATGGCCCTGTTAAGAGTGGAGTGTTATTGTTGGTACACAAGTAACATTTATTTTATTCTGACACTGTAATTACAGGCAGTAAATTAAATTAAATATTAAGCATTAACTTGAAATCAATAGGGCAACAAATCTCATTACGAGAAAAAATGTATTATGCAAATTCTTTCCAGAATTTTATCATCATGAATAATGGCTTCATTACAAGAACGATACAGCTTAGGAGGCAACCGAGTCTGAAACACTAGTGCCTTCCGATTTGAGAGTTCATGCAAAACAGCCTTGCCTTGTCAGAGTCAAAGAGGTTTTGCCCTAAGCCCCAGGGAAGCCCTGGGCTACAATGGCCGAGTTCTCGCTCTCTCCAGCTTTATGCGGTTCTGTCCTCGGAAGTGGCTGGAGGCCAGGACTGCCACAGGCCCGGCTTCCGGCTCCAGCTGTCTTCCCAATGGAGCCTGACGTGTTTCTGTTTCTTATCTGAGTTTGCTTTGCCCTTAGGAAAGCCTATGACTTAGCCCCAACCTTCCTGGGATGAGGGAATTCATCCAGAGGAGGCACTAAAAGGTTTTCCACAGTAGAAAGAACAGTTCTGTCAGTGCGATAGGGGCACACTGTTCCCTCTCCAGCTTCATTCAGGGCGCTTTCCTGGGTGTGTCGGGCAGCCCTGTTGCTCTCACAACCTATGGCTTTGTTCTTTTTCTCTGACCACTGCCTTCATTAAAACGCCCCCACACAGAAAATTTGGAGAGGTCTGTCTCTTGTAAGTCCAGAGCTATTGCCCTGCTAGGGATGGTCTTACCTACCATTTCTTGGAAAGGAAAGAAGAAAAGAAGCTGTTAGGATGTTCCCAAAAGACAGACTTCCTGTTTGTCCACTCTCATTTTCCTCCTCTTTGCTTTCTTTTATTGCAGAGTGAGGTGCGGCCTCTGTGGGCACAGCCTGCACAGGGCCGCACATGACCATGAGCACACGGCTGTCGCCTCTCGATCCAGCTGGCTGACAAACTCTGCTTATTTCTCTCTGCTAAGTATTTCCTTCCAAAGCTGAAAATTCCCAGAAGAAAACATTTGGAACCCAAAAGGGAACAAAACATAAATTCCCTATGTAAAAGCATGGGGGGGGCGTGTGAGTGGCAGAGGCCGCAAACAAAATATTTTAACTGGAACCAAGGGGGCTTCGACAAAGTGACAAATGCCGTTCAAATAGCTTATTCGTGAGCCCTCTGTGAATGTTGTATCTACCTGCCAGTTTGAAACTTAAAATAACAGGGTCAGCCCACTTGATTGAAATTTTCTTTATAAACAAAACCTGGGAGGATCACAGAACACAAAGGGACCTGCCCTCGGATTGAAGCCCAAATACCCCAGAATTCTCTCCTGCCGAAGAGGTGACCTCAGATGACTCTTACTCTCCCCTCAAAACAGTCACTCCTTACCTGGTGGTTGAGCCAGGAGCTGGGAATTTCAGGTCGTCCCCGATCTCTCAACACATTGTCCTTCATGCTTTCGACACAGGGGTGCTCCCGCACCTTGGAACCAAATGGCGGCTCATAATCTTTCACTTCTGTGAAGAAAGCAGGCAAACACTGAGAAGGGTGTGTGCAGACGGGGACATGAGCCTGTTGGGAGGTCGGGCTGAGTGTCAAAATATATCTTTGATTAATTACTCAGAGCAATTTTTAATAATAATGGATTAAGACTAGAAGGAAGGAGTGGTTTTGGAAGGAGCCTGAGAATAGTCCACAAATGATCGTTGAGTTCTTGCCATGTGCTAGCTATTGGGCTACCAGCTGGGGACGGAGTGGAGAGGAGGACCAACAAGGTGACAGAGCTGACATTTTAACACAGATGTTCTCAAACGGGGTGATGTTGCCCCGCAGAGGCAAAAGTGGTTCTTGGGAGGAAGAAAAAGCCTTACATATTACAGTGGTTTGTAGCCCTACAAAGGTCCACAGTCCATAAACAGATTTAACCTGTAGTGTTCGATTTCATGGCGATATTCAAATAGTCTAAAAAGGAATGAAATTCTGATACATGCTACAATACAGATGAACCTTGGAAACTATGCTAAGTGAAATAAGCCAGATCAAAAAAAAAATAAAAAAATAGGCTAATTCGTAGAGACAGGAAGTAGAATAGTGGTTGTCAGGGACTGTAGGGAGAAGAGATGGAGGGTGACTATTTAGTGGGTACAGGGTTTCAGTTGGGAAAGATAACAGAGTTCTGGAAATGGATAATGGTGATGGTTGTACAACATGGTGAATATACTTAACGCTAGTGAGTCATACACTTAAAATTGGTTAAAATGGTGGATTTGTTATGCATGTTTTTCCAAAGAGGGAAAGCATCACGGGGAGTAGCAATTAAGAAAAAAAAAATGTCTACAAAGACTCCTGAGGATAGCAATGATGAAAAGAGTTTGAGATATGCTGTTTAGTAAGATGACAGAGAAAAGAGGTTAATAATAACATCAATAAACAAAATTTTACAAGGTAATTTACCTTCAATGATACATGGTAGAAAGAAAATAATAGAGGATGATGTAACCCTTCACTAGGACTTCAGGTTTCAACTAAGGTCAGTTTCTTTATAGAGACTTCCTTGAATATCCCCCAAGCCATTCTTGGTTAGATGTCCTGGGCAGAACTCTAATTTAGCATGTGCCATATTTTAATATGAAAAACTCTAATCCCATAATACTGATGTTGTCATTACCATTAGGAATGGGGATGGGGACTTACAGTATATGCATGTTTGCTTCTACTCCCTGGGAAACGTCATATTTATATATTTTCCAAAACAGTTGTTCACTTTTTGTCTTATTATGGATTTTTGCAATTCCTCTTTCTTTGCTCTTCTCCCTCATTTGAACATCCTACTCCCACCCATTTCTTTCTTCTTTTTTTTTTTTATCATGTCCTATCATGTGTAAAACCATGTGTCCATTTGCCTCTCAGTCACCGGCTTTAATATTCGATTGTGGCAATCACGAAAACCACCCTCAGGCAGCACTGCTGTGTCTTGGGGGGCGGGGCTATTAGGCAATGCCATTCTGGCGTCTCCAGTACGACATCGAGGATGACCACTGACAGGCGTTACATAGGACGCCATTCCTTTCTGGAGGCCATGTCCTGTTTGCTCCTCAGTTCTTCTCAGAGTCGCTCAGAGTACCAAGGGCATTTACTTTGAGCAGCAGCAGGAGGTGGCCACAGACAACTAGGCGGAAGCCTGAACCCTGGGAGAGGTGATTGGAGGGCAGGAAGCCACTGCCAGCCAGGAGGGCACCGATGGTCTTTTCCAGGACAGAACCTCATCCACTGAAACCCAGACAGTCCTGGGGAATCGAGCAGAACTGGGGACGGGCAAAGAGTTGGTTTTCAATTCCAACTTTCTCCCCACGGGTTCAGTCATCCAGCGGCTGAGATGCTTAACCAACTTTGGCAATATGGCTGGGGCCAAATGACATATATTTTATCCCTATCTATCTAGATGTCATATTGGTTCTTCAAATATTTTTATTTTAGAAAATGTATGTAATTAAAACAAAAAAAAATTACTAAATAGACTGATATAGACAAGAGCAAATCTCTCTCCACTCCTAACCCCTAGTTTCACAGAAGTAGCTTAGGTTGAATGGTGGAGTTTAAAGTGATTTCAATTTTTCCCTTGTTGTTTATAAATGAGCACTTCTCAATCTATCCTTTATAAAAGGCCAGGTGCTTTGCCCCCAATTCACTGGGGGCTGAAGCCTCGGTAAAACACCGTAGAAATGAATTATAAGAAAAATGAATCCCACTGGAGTGTCATGGCAACACCAACTGCTACTGAAGTTACTCAACAACTACTCTCAGTTTCTGTCCTTATCATATCGCAAATCGGAAACAACCCATTTGAGGACCAGAACCTTCCACAGACGACACTTGGAGCAGCGCTGTTTTAAACGCTTTGCAAGGAATATGAGTTGCATCTTGACAGAGGAACTGAATACCAGCTATTTAACATGTTTTAAGGGTTTCACATGAGTCAGACAGAGAATGGTGAAGAAGATCCTTCAGAGATGTGATCCAACACCTCACTTTACAGTTGAGAAAACAGGCCAAGAAGCGCCCTGGATTCCGGGAAGAGCACTCAGAACGGATGACTGTTTTACTGTTACTCTGATGAAATGGCTTTGCCTTTTTAGGAAGCCTTCCTCTCTACCAAGCATTTCAGTGACCTCTTTCTCTCCCAAACAGAACAAACACAGCTGGGAGCTACGTGTCCCTCGCTGCCTTGGCTAGGCCATCCCCACCATATGACCCCGAGAAGGGGGAACTTTCTGGGACCAGTTGGATGTTATGGTTTGTAATTTCCAAACAAGCTATGCAAAACAACCCCTGATGACAAAGAGCACCCCTCTCCTTACTGCTATTGATTACTGACATTAAGCCATTCTGGGTTTAGGGAAGTCGGCGCAATGGGTGGTGATGGAGGAGGGGCGTGGTTGGCAATAAAGTTAATGCAGTATTTTCTAGAGTTTCTCTTTGTACATTTGACCAAATGATGCCCAGGCTCAGGCCTCTCTTCTGTGAAGAACTGCAGAGAAAGGAAGTTAAGCGGGGAGTGGGGTTAGCACGGCGAGTGCTATGCCTGGCTAACCACGCTTATAATGAGGACCACGCTTTTAAAAAATTTGGAAATGCCTCTGAGGGGAAAAAAAAAAATTAAAGAGTTTAGAGAATAAGACAGAGTTTAGCACTAAAAAAAAAAAAATAGTGCTAACGATATGCATCGTAAGTAGGGGTATTATTAGTTGCATGTCCATTGGTTCCATCATAAACTAGATATGAGGACTTGGAAAAGAAATGTCCACACTTTGGGCCTCAGTTTCCACATCCATAAAATAAGAGAAATCACAGTGCCCTCCATCATTACTCAGTACCGCAGCCCCCCCTTATCCACGGGGGGCACGCTCTAAGACCCCAGTAGATGCCTGAAACCATGGAAAGTACCAAACCATTTATATATATGATTTGTTCTCACTGCAGATCTTATCAAATCAGCATACAATTTTTATTCTCTCCTTATTAAAAACTTTCACCTTTTCACTTAAAGGAAGCAATTTACGGCTTCTCTACGGCACATCTGAATTACCCACAGTACTAGCTACTCTTGAGCTTTGGGGCAACTATTAAGTAAAATAAGAGTAACCTGAACACAAGCACTGAGATGCCAAGACAGTAGATCTGATAACTGAGAACGCTACAAAGGGACTAACAATGGGGGGAAGGTATACAGCGTGGCCATGCTGGACGAAGAGATGATTCACGTCCCGAGCACCATTTCATCATGCTACTCAGAACACCGTGCAATTTAAAACTTACAAATTCCTTGTGGAATATTCCATTTAATATTTTTGAACTGCGGTTGACTGCCGGTAATTGAAACCGTGGAAAGTAAAAGCATAGATAAGGGGGGACTACTGTATACTGCTATAGGACCGCTGGCCACACAGCCATTCCCATGCATGCTGGCCCATCTCCAACTGGGGCAGGCTGGGTATCCTGGGAGTTCACCCTCCCTACTTGCCCCAGGGCAGCCTCCACCAAAGATGGATGGGAGTTAGAAGATAAACGCCCAACTTCCTGCTCAGTTGGGTGGGGTGAGGCTGAGGTATGTGTCTGATGCTGCAGCCGGGGTCCCCAGCAGCAGTGGTTCCAGTTATCCACAGTGAAGACCAGCTTGACAACATACCACTTACGGTCTTCCTTCCCTTTCAGTGACTCACTTCCCCATCCCGTTACTGGCATTTCCAGAGCTCTCTTCTCAAACAAACTACATACACTCAAATTCTCGTTCCAGGGTCTGGGACACCCAACCCAAGGCAGAGGCCCACACAGCAGAATTATATACTCAAATCAAGCCCATGTCTCACCCACAGGCTGCTTCCTAAGATAGGTGTACAGAGGCCGAACACCTCAGGCTCTCCCTGAGTGCCTCAAACATCATTCCTAAGGCACTTCATCTCGCTGCTTGAGAACAACTCACAGTTCTTCCCAGCATCCCTTGCCCTGCCTTTCCCCACAGCGCTGACTCCCAGGCCCTTGCAGCATCCATTAAGCTCTCTCAGAAAGCTCTTAGGAGAAACTATACTCCTATCCCTCTTCCCAGTTCTGCAGCAGAGGGCAAGTCTCTGGCACAGCAATGATGTTCCTCTGAAGTCAGCATCTGGTACACAGCTGTTGCTTTGATTGTGGTTCCAACTTAATAGTGTAGCAAAGTTGTTGATAGTTTTCCCGAAGCAGTACCCCAGAGTTCTGTCTGCCCTCCAAATTATACTCCCCTGAAATCCAGGAAAATGAAGTGCTTCCATCCTAGTCTTTTTAGTCTTCAGGCCTTCTCTCCCTTTTTGTCCCCCGAATCCTTTCTTTTTGATTCATTTGCACTTTTGTCCGTCTCATGAGACTGCAGCGAGCCGACAATACGGTCAGGAGCCATTCTTGGGGTTGTGTTTATGGTCTATGTTAAATGCTTGTACAGCCGGCTGCTGTGTGTCAGCTTCTATTCAGAGGCCTAAATGGCTGG